TGAAACTCAAAAGGGAGGTGAGAAATAAAAATCAATGGGTTTAGGAAACCCTTTAAGGGGTGGCGCGAAATAATCTCGAGGAAGGCGAGAAATCCTTCGCCGCATGGCGAAGGTGTGGTGCCTTTCTGGGCGCCATATTTGTGCTGGTTGGCGAGCAAAAGAAAACCTTCGCCGCATGGCGAAGGTGCGCCCTTCTGGGCGCCACATTTGTGCTGGTTGCTCGCCAACCAAAGGGTGGGTGGAGCCATTTTGTGCGCCACCCACCTTAATTACCTTTTTTTTTAATTTTTTAATTTATTTATTTATTTATTTATAATTTAATTATTTTTTAATATATTTAACTAATTTCTTTTATTTATTTTAATTATTAGTTTAATGAATTTATTTAATTCATATATTTATTTAATTTATTTATTTATTAAAGTTTGTTTTTTTTATTTATTTGTTTGGTGAATAAACAAATAATTTTAACTTAAATATTTCGAGAATGTTGCTTAATTACGTAGTAAATTTTTATAAGAATTTATCTTTTAGTTATGTAAAATTTTTTAAACGTAAACCAAAAATTATCATTTAATAAAAAATAAAACTTATGTATTTACTATGAAAAAAATTAATTATTTATCATCGGTGCATCGGTGCAAAGCCACCTGCTCCACGTCACAAATTGATTATTAATAAATCACAAACACCAACTTTGATGCCATGGAAATTATTAATCAAACGATTGCCAAGGAAATCGACGATATACAGCGTTAAAAACAAACATTTCTAGCAACAATTTGATGTGATGGGGAATCAAAGTCACCTGCTCCACGTCACAATTTGATTATTTATAAATCACAAACACCAACTTTGATGCCAAGGAAATTATTAATCAAACGATTGCCAAGGAAATCGACGATATCCAGCGTTAAAAACAAACATTTCTAGCAACAATTTGATGTGTTGGGGAATCAAAGTCACCTGCTCCACGTCACAATTTGATTATTTATAAATCACAAACACCAACTTTAACTTTTGTTTTTGACGAAGACCAACTTTGACTTAAACACCCAAATATCTACAAATCAAGGTGCAATTTTCTACTCGGATTGAATTGTTAATGTGGAATATTTAGATCAGTGCCAAAACCAAAATCTTCCAAAACTTCGGATTTCCAAAACTTCAATAAACAACTTGGATGTGTTTGGAAAAGTCATAATACAACACCTGGCTCAGTCAATGTGCAATTATTTTCTCCGATTGACTTACCAGTTCCTTACGAAAAAGATTCCAATATAACAACGTGCTTGTTTGGACAACGTTTTATTTTAATTTTTTATTTAGATTTGAGAGAAGATTTAAAAGGTAGTTTAGTTTTTATTTAGAAAATATTATAGTATAGTGACCATTTATGAAATTAAAATAGTTCAGCGACCAAAATGAAGATTTTACAATAGTATAACCACCAAACACAAGACTTTATAATAGTTCAGTGACTAAACGCAACACTTTACAATAGTTTAGTAACCAAACGCAATTAAGACTTTACAATAATTCAGAAACCAAAACGAAGACTTTACAATAGTGTAATGACCAAACACAGTATTTTAAAAGATAAATTAAAAAGTTGTTTGAATAATTTTTTTTTTTTGAATTTTGTGTTTAAAAGGTAAAATGAGTGAAAATGAAAAATGAGTTAATGGACATCATCGTTCCACTTTCTTTCTTAACAATATACAAGATGGGTTCAACAAGGCCCACCAATCCCTCTTATGTTTTCAATCAACAATTTGGATGTGTTGAAGGCAAAAGTATCAAAGGACAAGATTAATTACCCGTAAATATAGTTCATATTTACAAATTATACATTTTATTAATCTTAATACAATTTGCAAAATATTATATGAACTATTTTGGTATGAAATGAGCAGCATATGTCTGATTTTAATTAAGATGTTTCCAGAATAATCAGCATCACTACAGAACCAGATGTATTCATAAACTGGTCCAAAAAATAAAAAATAAAAGAAAAAGAGAATAGCTGGCGTCATAAAAATATACGTAAATAAGCAAAATGAAATAATTTTTTATTTTTCAAAGAAATTAGAAAGAACCTTCAAGATGCAACTATTTTCTCAGATTGAATGTTAATTATATCAGCAAAAATACCCAGTTGAATGACATATTAGCAAATTGTAAATCTTTTTTCCAAATTGCACGAGTAGTTATATTTGAACCCAATAGCCCATACATGTGCCAGGAAAAAGTATAGCTAAATTCTAGTAATTTCTATAAACCTTTAGGCTCCGTTTCGTTAGATTGAATTGTAATTGAATTGGAATTATAATATTATTGAATTGAAAATAAGATATTAAGATTGCAATTCAATCCTAATTCTTTTATTTGGAAGATCTTAATAATTAACTAGATTAAGATTCTAATACCAATTCTTGCGTTTGGATACTATAGAATTCATATTTTAGAATTGCTTATTGTCTAACTAATCAATACAATTCTAACTTTTTTTAAAAAAAAATGCATTTTTTGTATATAATTTGTTGTATCAATTTTTTAATTAATTATATACAATAGATAGTTGTGATTTTTTTTAATTAGGTGAGGATTATTAATATGATAATTAAAACTCCCTTATTCTCACTCGACACACAAACAAATAGTAAATAAAACCTCTTTGTTTTTCTCCGTTTTATTATATTTTAACATTTTAATTTCTAATCTTTGGATTTTTTTTTTGGGTAATTTATTCGCATCTTTTAATGAAAAAATTAATATTTAACATAAATTTGGTTCATAAATATTAGTATTCTTTTATTAACTACTCCCTCTGTCTCAAAATTATTGTTCATTCTGAATTTTATTTTTAATATTGTACTAAAGATATGTGCTATCATAATTGATTATGTACGTATATAAAATTTTTTATTACAGAAAATCATTTATGTGAAAGTTAAAATTCCAACTCAATAAACAAATAAGTTTCAGATCAAACATCTTTGTTTTTTTCTCATTTTATTTTTAAAATTTTTGGAACTTGTTGAAATATTATATTTGCACAATACTAAAATAATTGTTCAGTTTAAAATTTTATTTATAGTGAAAATCTAGAGCGAACCACCATTTTGACACCAAGAAAGTATTAATTTTAGTGCACAAAATGTAAATAACAAATGCAAATATACTTTTTGAAAAATATTGAAGAAAAAATTTACATCATTTACGATCATATAAAGCTTCCTTGACCGAAGAAAATGAAATTACTCATCAATATTTTTAAATTTATTTTGGTTATGGAAATATTTTGATAAACTTTTGCAACAAAATTATCATATTGAGCTAAAGAGGTAGATTTTGCTAATTTGATAACTATCACAATGTTATATATCATATTTTATATTCATTATACAAATATTTTTTTAAAATGGAGAAAAAGACGAAAACCAGAAAAAAAGAGGAAAAAGAAGCTCACATTGTGCGGAGACCAAAAAATAAATTAAAAAAATAAAAAAACAAAAGGAGGACCTGAGCCCGTGAAAGATGGAGTTTTCCTTGTGGCGCGTGATTTTCACGTGCCAATCCTTTTTCTAATTTGCTTGATATTTAACCCTTTTTTTATAACCCGGTTTTGCTCTAGTTTGGACCTATGATTTTTTTTAAATCCCTAGAATTTGAACTGCAATTATTTGTTCACACAAAAGAATTAAAAATAAACAATTGAGACTCATCTTGAATTATAATTCTAATTTCGAAACTTCTATTTTTGTTAGTCAAACATAAGAATTGGAATTGGAGGCGGGTCCAATTCAATTCAACCAAACAGAGCCTTAGTGGAATTATGTTTGGAACTGAGTAATCCAGTTCCTTATTGAATTTGGAAAAGTTCACAAAAAGAAAAGAAATGGATGGAAAAATGGTAATGCCGCCAAAACAGGGGTGGCGGAAGTGTGAAACGGAGTAGCTTAACAATTAAACAATAATTACAACTAAATTCATCTTTTTCGATGATTCCAGAACTACCAGCTAATCACCTTTTATATTAATTACAAAACAAATTCTTCCCTTCACTTAATCTGCATGCATGGTCACATTAATTGCACATTAACCCTCAGGAGCAAACGACGTCGTCGCCTTCTATCTTCTTCAAAATATTTGAAATGTCATCCCCTTAGAAATGGTGTGCATGACAATCCATCCCCCTTACAGCAAACTTGTCAAAAGTTTGATGCCTTGGAAACTGGCCTTTCCGAACGACCGGCCATATGACACGCTCCTCCACCTTTAGTCAAAAACTTAATGTTTGTTTGTCCTTTTCGTTTGCCATTTGTGTTATTTTTACCTCTTAAACACAAAAATCAATGCATTATCCAAATATCAATTTATATTATCTTTTAAAAATTATTTTGAATATTATTTTACATAATTTTTGTCGACCACCACAGGACCACCTCTACCACCGGACGGTGGGTCGTCGGCCTGTCGCCGGCCGAGGGCAGCGGGGGCAACCCGGCAATGGCGGCCAGTGATGAGGAAAAAATTAGTGTCGATGACTACTAAACTATTGTAAAGTCTTCAGTTTGCTCACTGAATTATTTTAATTTTATAAATGGTCCCTATACTACAATATTATCCAAATCAAAAACTAAACTACAGTTTAAATCTCCTTCCAAATACAAATCATAAACAAAAAGCAAAACGTTGTCTAAACACCACCATAACAATCTAGTTTTAAGAACCCCATCTTCTCTTCATTATAAGTTATTTTAATTTGTTTTAAATTTCATTTAATATATACCTTTTTTAAAAAATATAATCTTACAATATTTTTTCCCGGTTTACTGTATTTTATCAATTATCATAAATTATGTTTAAGGTTTTATTTTTGATTGAAAAATATAATAAATAAAATTTAGTATAAATCCCAATGTCTTATAATAAGGCTCGAAGAGAGTAAATATTTAAAGAAATAGGGACTTGTTATTAGAAACAAACACACACAAGAACACTGTTCAAGAGGGAAGAATCCGTCAGTAAATTTGATACGGTATTATTACAAACAAACACACAGACAAAGAACACTGCAGGAGGGAAGAATATGCCAATTAATTAAATAGGGAAAACTTATGCAACTGGAATTAGTATATCAAACACATTAAGTCCTACTAGGCTCTCACAATTATTTAAGGTTGTGGTAGCGCTAGAAGATTAAGTGGACAGTAGGTGCTTCTTCCCAGTTCCCCTCGTGAGCGTCCACTATACATCTTAAAAAACCTCTACATCGTTGCAGTTCTTGCTACTTAGTTTGTGAAACATTAGAGGTCGTTTCCAACATGTGGATCGCCAATACAATTCCACCAATCTCCTTCTCCTTCTCATCATCTCACATCAAAAGTACATTTCGTCATGATCGCATTCCCTCGTTTAGGCAATTCATTGCGCCAACGACCGGTAAGTACTCTTTTATGTTTCATGCCGATCATCAATCAGTTTTACCACTTCGACATCGTTTTCGTCATTACGGTAGCATGATAGCCTAGAAAGTGCTTTGGGAAAAAAAGAAAAGAAAAACAGTTGCAAGTTCTTCTCCATTCATTTTAATGACAAATATTAAGAGCGAGTTCATGATATCGAAATGTTAAGAAAATGAAATCTTATAACGAAACTGTCCCTCTAAACTATACCGAATTTATATGTAAATGCTGTTGAATTCTATTTGTGCATATCACAAATATCTTACTCCCTCTATCACAAAAAAATATACTCTATGTTGAATTTTGAATTTTTTAGTAAAACTTTTAAAATTCAATAGTGGACTATCTTTTCTAGACAAGGAGAGTATTACTTTTTCTTTCTTGTTTTTTTTTTTTTTTTTTTTTGATAGTACGAGAGGAGGAAGTCATTTGTTATGTATGTTGGTCCTTGAAATTATTTTCTTATAAAAATAGTTTGAAATAATATTAACTGGCGGAATTTTTCTTTGTTTCAGGAATTCGAGTTTCTGAAGCAAAACAATCACATCTCGACCGAATCAAAGGGAACATTTACAATGCCCAACGTGAAGGTATTGGTTACCTAGCTAGGTTCACTTGGTGCTACGGACAAACTTGTCCATAACACGCAGTTTGGCATATTCTTAGAAATGAACTTTTACTTTGCCCACAGCCTACTTGTTAGCAGTACTACCAAATAATGTTAGCAAAATGTGGAATCCAGTATTGTCTGATCTAAATTAATCCAAAAAAGACAAAAGGTTGTTTCCTTTTTTTTTTCAAATTGTAGTTGTTGTTGAAGTTTGAACTTTTCTTTGTTTATTTTCGTTTTGATTTTTCTTTTGTTTAGTTTTCTTTATTTATTCATTTGTCACCGACCCAACCCGTATACACATAACTAGTTTTAAGTTTTGTTATCATGAAACATTTGCAGTTGAAAAAAAACAAAAAATTCCTTTTCAGATTGCGGAAGGGTTGCGGAAACTCCAGTGGATAATGCTGCTATAATAGGAGAAAGAGTGAAGGTAAAGAGGGTATTATTATTAGGAGCCATGATAGGCATAGTAATAAAATATAGTGAATTTGGATAGTAAGTAATGAAAAGACGTTTACACTATATTTACTATACATGTGTATTTATTAATTAAGGGTAAAAAGGTAATTTCACAGGAAAGATAAAATTTCACTGGGAGAGTAACAAGAAAATAGGGGGTCATAATTACTCCATATCAGTCACTATTTTCAGTCAGTATTATTTCTTTTGCTATACATATTATTTTCCTATTATTAGAGCAATGATAGAGATAGTGATTAATTATAGTAAAAATGTATAGTGACTAATTGAAAAGACAAGTACACCACACTTACTAAATATATTACTTGTTAATTAAGGCCATTGTTATTTGCAGATATAAGAACTACTCATTTACAGCTGTTTGGACTTTTTTACCCCTGAGTACTACAAGAGTACTAAAACACATAGTTTCAAATCATTTCTTTCTCTTCTTCTTCTTCATCTCTCAAAGAAAAAAAATCCAAAACTCATAATGTCAAAATTTTTTATCAAAAAATTTGAAAAAAAAATAAAAATTTTGGAATGGGGTAACCGGTGCCGGACCGAAATTAAATTACACAAAGATATAATTAACACTAAATTAAATTTTATTTACATAAATAAAAAATTACTAATACTACTCATTTAAATTTAAAAAATATAAATAACAAAGATTAATACTTTTTTAAAAAATAATTTGAAAAATATAATAAATAACTGAAAAAATAAAATAAAAAAATAAAAAACAATTATGGCCAGGGGTAGCCGGCCCGAAACCTGCTACCCATGGAGGACTAGTCAGCCCGAAACTAGCTACCCAAGGAGAGCTAACCGGCCCAGTAGCCGGCCCGAAACCAGCTACCTAAGGAGAGGTAACCGGCCCAAAACCGGCAACCCAAGGAGAGGTAGCCGACCCGAAACCGGCTACCTCTCCTTGGGTAGCCGGTTCTGGGTAGGCTACCTCTCTTTGGGTAGCCGGTTTTGGGCCGGCTATCCCTGGTCAGAATTTTTTTAAAAAAAAATTTTCAATTTTTTGGTGTTATATTCATTTTATTTATTTATTTTTTGTGTTATACTCATTTGTGTTATACTCATTTATTTTTTAATATTTATTATATTTTGTGTTATATTCATTTTTTTTTTGTTATACTCATTTATAGTAATTTTTCTTTTCCTTTAGAAGTTGAAGAAGACGAGAGAAATGATTTCAAGAATGTGTTTTACTACTCTTTGTAGTACTCAGGGACAAAAATATCCAAACAGCTGTAAATGAGTAACTATTATATCTGCAAAAAGCAATTCAGTTAATGAAGGGGAAAAGTATAATTTTATGGGAAAGTTATAATTTCAACGGTTAAGTAACTAAAAAATAGAGCCATAATTACTCCACATCCGTCACTATATTTTGTCACTATATATATATATATCATCATCATCATCATCATCATCATTATTATTATTATTATTATTATTATTATTATTAATAAAACACTACCCAAAGGAAGAGATTGTTATACAAAGATTTTCTTGAAAAACAAAAAAGTTACTTTTGGCAACTAGCGCATTCAAAGACCCCATTCATTCTTTTTTAAATGTCTTTCTAAACAATTTTTCAATACGAAGAATATATTAATTAATATAGTTAAAATACAAAAACACCCTTATTTATTATCTATACATTTCATCACAAACCAATAAAAATCTGTTATCAACACCGTTTCTTTTCAAATGCAAGGGTATTGGTAAAAAAATTGTCAAATGTTTCTCGCTTTACGAAATCGACATATATTTAAAACAACAACAACAACAAGCCTTTTTCCCACTAGGTGAGGTCGGCTATATGGATCATATGTCGCCATCGTGTTCGATCATTACATTAATCATCTCTTAAAATTAAATATTTCAAATTATTTTTATAGTTTCTTTCCAAGTTTTCTTCGGTCTACCCCTACCCCTCTTTATTTGAGTCCTAGATTCTATACTTTCTACCCTCTTAACCGGGGTCTCAACCGGTCTCCTACGCACATGTCCAACCCACCTTAAGTGAGTTTCTCTCATTTTCTCATCTATCGGGGCTACCCCTACTTTATTTGTAATGCATTCATTTTTAATCCTATCTAACCTAGTGTGCCCACACATCCATCTTAGCATTCTCATTTCCGCTACCCGCATCTTTTGTTCATTTTCATATTTGGTAACCCAACATTCGGATCCATAAAGCATCGGCGGTCGAATGGCCGTTCGATAGAACTTGCCTTTCAAACTCAATGGTACTTTACAATCACAAAGTATTGAAGACGCACTTCTCCATTTGTTCCACCCGGTTTGAATTCGGTGTGTTACATCTCTATCAATGCCTCCATTTTCCTCTTATGATGGATCCTAGGTATTTAAAGCTTTTAGATGTGTTCACTACATGTTCACCAATTTTAACATTTACCATGTTATTACCCCTACGATTACTAAAATGACATTCCATATATTCCGTTTTAGCCCTACTTATTGTAAAACCTTTGGATTCTAGTGCCTCCCTCCAAGTCTCTAACTTGGCATTTACCCCCTCCCTTGTTTCATCTATTAAAACTATGTCATCTATAAACAACATACAAACGGGGATGGCTATTTGCAAATGCTTAGTAATGTCATCAATTACTAAAGCAAAAAGGTATGGACTCAATGCCGACCCTTGATGCAAACCAACCGTGATTGGAATTCACTAGAAATCCCTACCGAAGTCCTCACACATGTTGTTGCATTATTATACATGTCTTTTATAGTTTCTATATATCCCACTCTCACTCTCTTTTTTTCTAACACTCTCCACATTATATCTCTGTTAACCCTATCATATGCTTTTTCAAGGTCAATAAAGACCACATGCAAATCTTGTTTCCTCTCATTAAAGTGTTCGCATAATCTTCTTATTAAGTGTATGGCTTCCACTGTTGATCTTCCTGGCATAAAACCAAATTGATTTTCCATTATGTTAGTTTCTAGTCTTAACCTAGTCTCTATCACTCTTTCCCACAACTTCATTGTGTGACACATTAGCTTTATTCTTCTATAGTTAGCGCAATTTTGTATATCTCTCTTATTTTTAAACAAAGGAATTAGTGTGCTTTTCCTCCATTTGTTAGGCATCTTCTTACTCTTCATAATTATGTTAAATAACTTTGTTAACCATTCAATCCCAAAGTTACCTAGGCATCTCTATGCCTCTATTGGGATATCATCGGGGCCTACGGCTTTACCATTTTTAATTTTTTGCATAGCTTTCTCAACTTCTTTAGATTGGATTTTTCTATAGTATGTAAAGTTTTTATGATTCTCACTTTGTTCTAATTCCCCTAATGTTAGTTCCCTATTATCTACTTCATTAAATAATTTATGAAAATACTCTTTTCATCAATCTTTTTATCTTGTCCTCAACTAAAACATGTCCATTTCCATCTTTTATGCATTTAATTTCGGTTAAGTCTCTTGTCTTCCTTTCTCTTAGTTTTGCAATTTTATAAATATCTTTTTCACCCTCCTTAGTATCCAATTTTTTATAAAAATTTTCAAAAGCTTTTATCTTGCCTTCACTTACTACTTTTTTCACTTCTCTTTCAGCTTTTTTATATTTTTCTAAGTTCTCATCACTCTTACAAGTGTAAAAGGCCTTGTAACAAGCCTTTTTCTCTTTGACTTTTTCTTGAATATCTTGATTCCACCACCAAGATTCTTTATTACATTTATTACTTTTTAACACTCCTAATTCCTTTTTAGCAATTTTCTTATGTCTTTAGTTAATTTTTCCCATGTTTTATTGGCTTCTTTTTCCATGTTCCAATTGACATTTTCTAGTAAAGCTATAGTAAACCTATCTTTTTTATCTTTGTTATTAAGATTCCACCATTTTAACCTAGGTATCTTTGGCACTTTCCTTTTACATACATTAGTTTTAATTCTTAGATCCAAGACTAATAGCCTATGTTGTGTAGTGATGCATTCACTCGGTATTACCTTACCATTTTTACGAAGATTTTTATCATTTTTCTTTGTTAGAAAAAAATCAATTTGTGTTTTATTAGAACCACTTTTAAATGTGATTAGGTGTTCATCTCTTTTCTTAAAGAAGGTGTTACATATGACAAAGTCATATGCCACCGAAAGATCTAATATAGTTTTGCCCTCATTATTTTGTATTTCATAGCCATAACCCCCATGCACCCTCTCATAATCTCCGTTGCCCTTCCCTACATGCCCATTTAGATCCTCACCTATAAAAATTTTTTCATTTTGAGGGATTAAGTGGATTAAAGACTCCAAATCCTCCCAAAATTTAGTTTTAGTAGATTCATCTATTCCTGCTTGAGGCGCATATACACTAATTATGTTGATGGATTGATTCTCTATTATAATTTTTAAGGTTATGATTCTATCTCCTTTTCTAACAACCCCTACTACGTGATCTATAAATAATGAATCGACTATGATTCCTACACAATTCCTATTTCTATCTTTCCTGCTATACCAAAGTTTGTATCCCGTGCTATCTAGAACTTTGGCTTTTTCCCCTAACCATTTTGTTTCTTGCAAACACATTATATTTACCCGTCTTCTTCTCATAATTTTTACTATTTCTAAGGACTTACTTGTTAGGGTCTCTATATTCCAACTCCCTATCCTACAAGTCCTATCATTTCTATATTGGGTCTTTCTCCTAGTTCCCACTACTCCCACGCCCTCATGGGATTGTAGTGGTCCTTGCCAAGATGTGGAAGATTGGAGTTGTAATTCATTCTTGGCGTCCGGGACCTATTGCACATTTTTCACTACACCCAAGTTCCCATGGAGATGTAGGGTCCTTGCCAAGACGACGCAGCCGAACTCTGCGGCGCGCCACTTTCGGGTGGCATCCTAACATTTACACGTTTGCTTATATGATCCATATTCATGAGAGTGAAAAATTTTTATACTGGCTGTCAATCTAACGTAACCCTCTTGCTTTACACTAACTTGGGACAGTCAATTGTAAACTTTAAGGAACTAATGAACCCGAGAGTTTACAACATGCGTAGTTGACAAATATTTAAAAAAATAACTAAATTCTATAATAACATGTAGTAATAAAGAATGGAGGGAGTATTAGATTTTCAATTAAGATGTATGTAATTATGAAGGATAATCTTGATTATTGTACCTAGTAATTCCAACTTTCATAGCCTGTTTTTCCGTTTAATTAATGTGGTTGTTTAGTTTATTCTCTCTCTCTCTTTTTAGATGTATCTGATCACAATAAAATTTCTATTACACTGTCCAGAATTATATAAATAACTCTCAAATATCAATTTTATGAATATAACAGAGACAGTCCGCGCGAGAGTTAGGTAGAGTATATATATGTATGTGTACAGAAATATACACACAAAAAAGTACCTTTTTATTAAAAGAAAACTGCGTACAATCTTCTCTTGCTTGTACTTTGACGAAGGGGAGAAAATTATCAAACCACAAATATTAATTTTGTTATGAAGTTTATGTCGACTGTTATAAGACTGAAATGATCTTTTTTTATCCCTCGAAGACAAGAAAATTAGATAGAAAGAGACGTTCGATTGCACATATAAGATGGATGTTGAGCACGTTTGAGGACGGGAGAATTACAATCTCCCCATACGACACTGCTTGGGTTGCTCTCATTGAAAATGTGGATGGCAGTGGATCCCCACAATTTCCATCATCGATTGAGTGGATTGCTAAAAATCAAATGTTTGACGGTTCATGGGGTGATCCACATTATTCGGTTTATGATCGATTGCTGAATACTCTTGCCTGTGTGGTGGCTTTGAGATCATGGAGTATGCATTTTGACAAGATTGAACTAGGTAATAATACTACACATCAATACTTTGGTGCTCACCCCAAAAAATATTACTCTCTCTTCCCATAATTATTGTTCAGTTTGAGTTTTTATTTTTAGTTCAAATTATATTAAAAGTAAAATATCAAACTGCACAATAATTTTGGGACAGAGGGAATAGTTTTTATACTCGATTAATTCAATAAAAACTGAGTTTCTTTCCCGGGAGAATTGATTACTTGCTAATACAATTGTGTTCGGACTAGGGATGTATTCTAATCTAAGTGGCAAATTACACTAACACATTTGCTTATTTGATGCTTTAATTATTAATAATTATTAATAACTAGGAATACGGTTTCTCAACGAGGTGTCAATGGAACTTGAAACCGCACATCTTGACAGCTTGACTTCTGGGTTTGAGATCATATTTCCTCCACTCCTACAAAGAGCACGAAATTTGGGCATTGAAATACCAGATCTCGACGGTCCATTTCTGAAAGCGCTCATAGCTCTTAGAGATCAAAAGTTTGCAAGGTAACTCAAAATAATAATAATAATAATAATAGTAATATGGACATATAGAAAATTATGGAACTTTATACAAAAATTAGACAAGGCTAGACACAAGTAATTGTATAAAGTTTAATGTTACGGTTCATCGTTTAATTTTCAGGATTTCCAAGGACATCCTGCATGAGGTGCCAACAGCATTACTTTTCAGTTTGGAAGGAATCGACGGCCCATTGCAATGGGACAAGCTATTGAAACTAACAACAGAAGACGTGTGTTTCTTAACATCTCCCTCCGCCACGGCATTTGCATTTATGCAAACTGGCGATGATAAATGCCTAAAGTACCTTCAAAACATCGTCACCAAATTCGATGGTGGAGGTAAGTTCATTCGGCGCCTCTCCAATTTATAGCCTATATATTCCTGCTCTTTTCTTTTTATTTCGTTTTTTTTTTCTTTTAACTTTTAGTTTTAACGTCATTAAGAACTTGCCGAATTCACGGATCAAGTCGTGTTTAACCTTTAGAACATCCACAACGATATAGAAGAGGCGAGTTAAATAGTACTACTATATTACACTAAATACCATTTTTTTTAAGATTTAAAAATTTGTTATTGCAGAGAGAAATTTCTTACAATGTATAATATATTATTGTTTGGGTCAATATGTGATTAATATGGGTCCGTGATAATGCAATAGTCACTTAATTTTATTATACTTTCATAGTACAAATCGACGTAGAAAAAAGTTGAGTAAACTGCATATAATATTGAAATATTATGAGATGACAATTCAATATATCCACAATGACATAAATTATTATAGATACTCTTACTTATCGACTTCTACGTTGGGCTCTAGCTGTTTTCTCCCCCAACATAAAAATTTCCTAAAATGTGACTATACATCTATTATTTTTTTCTCCCATCAATGAATTTTACTTTTGACTTTTTTTAAAAAAAATTTCCATCTAGTTCTTCTCACGAAAGAAATTAAATTTCACTCATTTTCAGTACCCACAATTTATCCGTTCGATCTCTATGCAAGACTTTGGGCAGTTGACCGTCTCCAACGCCTTGGAATTTCTCATGTTTTCGAAGAACAAATAGACGAGTGCTTGAATTACGTCCACAGGTACATTGACAACATAAATGCAAAATGGTTAGCCCTACTGATTCATTTTGTGAATGTGAGTTGTAACTTGTGTATTATATGTTGTGTAAAAAAGTATCAGACTAGCAGACAGTAGCGTAGAAGTTTTTGCCAATTCTAATGTATGCAAAACAGAAGTCAAACACTATCAAAATATACTAGAATATCCATTTCAGAATATAAAGTAATTAACAGTTTCAAGCGTCCTAAGATACTGATCATTTAGCATATATATCATTAATTTGTATATTATATATCTTTTGTATCTCTCGATAGAGTTAGCATTTTGAGAATAAAATTAAAAAGTTTGTAACTAATTTCTTTTGCAATCTTAAAATGATTTTCATTTTTAAAATATTCCTATATAACTAAATGTTAATTACCATCATAATCTGGTTGGTACCTCTTTTAATACATATTTTAGAGTTCCATTATTCGAATCTCACCAAAGAAATGTAATTCAGGATTTTCGCATATTTAGATGGGCCATGGGAATTGTTTTTTACTTTTTACTTATTAAATTATATTCCTACAAAACTAGAAGGATTTATATTTTCAACTAGAAATCTAATTAGACACAGTTGGTTATCAGTTGCACCTGCTTAAATCTCTTTCACTAATAATCACTATAAAACGTGACATCAGAATAGGATACATGACCTAATGGAACAAGCTATATCAAATTAATTAAGTTGAAAATTTATGCAAATAAAAATACTTTTGAAACTCAGATATTGGACGCCAAATGGAGTATTCAGTGCACGAAATTCTACAATTTCTGATTTGGATGACACTGCGATGGGTTTTAGGCTTCTAAGGTTACATGGCTTCAACGTTAGTCCTGGTATGTTTTGCATCAATTCTTCCTCTTTTTTGTTGAAACATATTCATTTCTTTTCCCCCTTTATTATATGCGTGCCTGTAGAATCTATCCTAAACGGGGAATGTTTGCACGTATTTTATTAAATAGAAAGAGCTTTAATGGAGATTCTTTCCAAAAGAAAAATCGTCATACATTTTTTTGCACTGAGAGCTATACCAAAACTTAACTTTTATTTCTCACTCTAGTATTTAAAGAAGGAAATGATTAAAAATAGATTGTTTTCAAGTTACGTGGGAGAACATATTATTTCGCATAACGATATGGTTAGTATTGATAATTATTTAAACTCTATGAATACTTTATCCATATTTAAGTGAAAGTGGATTTTTTTTTTTTTTGAAAAAAATTCATTTCAAAAATACCCGTATAACAAACAATTAGAGAGGTTTTGCAATGTAAACTGTATGATAATGTAGTTGACTTATGTTGGATGAAAGTATCATTTAAAAGTCGAACTTAAAATAGGCTTGCTTGTTATTGAAAAATGATGGAGACTCTTTAATTTTAAAGATTACCATTTGTATACAGAAATTTTTCATAATTGTTTTAATAAAAAATAATTTGTAACCGTCTATATCTTGTGTGGATCACCGCTCTTTTTTTGTAGGGAAGAGAGACAAGTGAGACTTTCTTTTTAAAAAAATTTTAAAAAAAAAAACCGCAAAAACAAACTTAAGTATGAAAAAGTAAAACCTCAAAATGTTCTTCCCTAATTGTGGGCTTCTTCACCAGAGGATCATACAGTTGTGCTACGGCATGGCGGCTTGAAACTCCTAAAGAATTTTCCAACCGATCGACTCTGTAGGAACAATCAAAAACTTTTATGGTCAATTTGAAGTTGTTTTTGTCATTTATTGATTTTTTGTCGGAAAGATTCTAACCTTTGTCGTCCTTTTCAGATGTTTTTAAGCATTTCAAGTCAAACGACAATAAGTTTTATTGCTTTGGTGCTGAACTAAATGCTTCTCCAACGACATTATTGAATCTCTATAAGGCTTCTCAAGTGAGGTTTCCTGGAGAACGTATCCTTGAAGAAGCCCAAAACTTTTCCTACCACTTTCTGAAGGAAAAGTTATTACAAAATGAAATTGTGGATAAGTGGGTTATATCCAAGGATATTGCAGGAGAGGTATTAACTAAGAAGATGAAAGCATTATATCATTTTTAAAGTTTTTATTATAATCAAATCGGAAGAAGATATACTTTCTCCGTTCTGAACATATAGTTTAAATTTTGCAATTGAAACGTTAAATTGGACTTATAAAATATAAACCATCTAAAAATTGTTAAAAAAACAAAGAAAAAAAAAAGGAATTACGAATGGACATGTTTCCTTATGAACTTTCCAATTAATTTGAAAGATTAAGCCATCCAATTCTCAAATTTTACTTTTTCAAATTGAATCAGTTTTGCAGGACGGGAAGAGTATTAAATTATATTTATTATATTTCAATAAATTTTATGTATGACCCAAAGAAAAATTTAAATACACTTTTTCGAAATTTCAGTTGAAGTTCGGAGTTGAAATTCCATGGTATGCATGTTTGCCAAGGGTTGAGGCAAGGTTCTACATTGAACAATATAGCGGCGAAGATGACGTCTGGATTGCTAAAACATTATACAGGTGCCCCTCTTCTAGAGTTTTTAAAATTTTTCCTTATTAAATAATCTTTTTATATTATACCGTAAATAACCTAAACTCTAATCTAATGCCTTCCATAATTTATGTTTTTTAATTGGGCTGCAAACTAAAGAAACAGAAGCTGATATAGCGGATCTGTGGATGGGCACTTGGCAAATTTGGGATTGAGGTGTTTTTTTTTTTTCTTTTTATTAAAAAAATTTGAAAACGAATAAAACTCAAGGAAACAATATGATTTGAGTTTAGGTCATTTAGGAAAATATTTATATAGAAAAAATTATTTTAAACAAAAAAAGGAAACTCGCCTTCTATATCACTTTACTACATTGAGGAGAAATAATGGTGCGGTTACAATTTTTTCATTAAATAAAATTTACTATTTGATTGTTATACATATACATATATATATATCCATTTATTTCTTGGAAATCAGTGACAAGAAATGGTTTAAAAGATATAGTTTACAATTAATCCAATATTGTTGTTTTTTGTGTTAATAATAAATATATACTTGTATCGATATATATAGTATAACGATAAACGTATCATGTTTTATAATTTTAATCTGATTCACAATACATCACTACTAATGTGATTACTGTTCCAAATATTAAATGGGCAATAATAGGAATAATGACAATTTATAATAAAATGAGATAGTGACTTTTGAAAAAAATAAATACATCACCTCACTAAACATGTGTGGTTATTAATTAAGGATAAAAATCTAACTTTAGGGTAAAGTTAAGATTTTAACCGGAAATTAGTAAAAATAAGAAACTCATAATACTCTATATCAGTCATTATTTTTTTCACTATGTATATAAATATATATTATTTCCATACAATACTAAATTCACTACTAGGTTTTTTATGGTTGAACCTTTCCAAACTGATAAATGAAAAACTGAGAACGAAAACTACATACATTGAAAAATATTACTCTCTTAGTAGACATGCTTTAATCCCTATTATTATTTTCTCTCTCTTTGAAAAATATTCAAAATATTCAAACGAATTTATCTTTTAATTCGTGAATACTTGATTAGAAAATGTGTTATATACGAAATTTATAATATTCGACGAGATTTATTCAACAAGATTTATATTGAATAATTTTCTAAAACGTAAAAATGATGTAAAATTTTCAAAAAATTGTATATTCATTTGAACTCTATCCTTACACGTGCAAATTCCTTAAACATGCTCACTCCGATATTTTTACCATAAAAAGATTGATTTTATATTTGTTGTACCGCATAGACAATTGAGCACGGAGTCAAAGGCTACGTTACCATCGGCCGCTCCTTTCACATGCCTATTCTTGCACATGTTCGTTCCTTACACGTTCTTGCTCCAATATTTCTGCCAGAAAAAAAAATGGGTCTTACATGTGCTCGCTTTGATATTTCTACTAAAAAAAAGACTGGTTTCATATTCATGGTCCCATGACTAGAACCGAGCATGCTACAAGAACATCGTTCGCACTGATTTGAACTCTCTCCTTTCACATATCTTAATGATTTTAATGTTTGAAAAAAAAAATCAATATCATCTTATTTGACAGATCTTGTCGATAAATACAACTTTCATATATAACACATTCTCTAATTTTTCTTTAATTAAGAGATAGAGCCATTAGTAGGTTATTGATATTTTTTAAGAAAAGAGAAAAAAATTGACAGAGACTAAAAATATAATAGAATAAAAAGTTATTTGGAATAGAGAGAAAAAGTGTAATAAAAAACAAAAGTGTTAAAAAAATAATAAGAATTTACCATAAACCCAGGTCTACACAAGTTGGTCTCGAATCAAATTGTTCTCCATCATGCTGTATCGTAGACCCGACGATGGGTTTTGTTTGGGATATAGTGATAACTGCGATTATTATTAATGGCTAGGAATTGATGTCATGTACGAAAATCTATAGCTCTTGTTTTTACAAATGTCAACAATTTTGGGAAAATTCTAGGGTCTCGCTGGGTATTTTGAGGGTTTGGTCCCGTTCAAATTTAATCAGTAAGAAAGTGATACATCAGTATAACATTAAATGTGCCAATTTTTTAAAATTTGTTGTGACCTGCTAAGCAGGTAAACTTACCAAAACATCAGGTAAACTTATCAAAATTTTAATAATTAAATAATTTAGGAAAGTTTAAACATTTAAAATACCTAAATCACCAATATTTAATAATTAAGTTTCCTTTTTTCATTACATATATATTGCACAAATACTTACATATGATTGTACATTAGTTTATAAAACATTGCACCTAATTAATTGATGATTAGTTATACCATCTTTTATTTTCTTTTATTTTTGATTAATTGCACATTCAAGAAAAATACATTACACGTTCACTTTAAAAGAATTGTATTACACCAAAACTTACTATAATTGTTAATTAAACTTTCTTATTTTATTTTTAAGGCTCTGTTTGATAATCACTTAATATAATGACTTAATTTATTTAAGTACTTAATGAAATTAAGTGTGTTTGATAATCACTACTAAAAAGTCTTCATGAATTAAGTTCTGAACTAATTAAGTGCGTTTGATAACTAATATTTCGCTGTCTGAATTAATTAAGTGCGTCTGAATGGCCAATTCATTTGTGAGCTAGAAAATAAGTGATAGGCCTACCACTTATCACTTATCACTTAATTTTTCTAATGACTCTTTTTTTTCTTTTTTCTTTTTTTCCTTTTTTTCCCTCATCTTTATTTCGACGCTTATTTTTACATTGTTTTAAAATTTTTATTTTCTTAAGATGAATTAATTAAGAGTGCTTAGTTGAATTTATATTATGAGTATAAAAGATCTCAAACTTTCAAACTCAAATTAAACTAATTTTAATACATGAAATTTGCTAAATAACGTGGTATACATATATATATATATATAATAATCTAAATTTAATTATATATTGATTATTTACCAAGTGTAATATCTACTTTCAATATATATACCAAAAACTTATTTTAAAATTATGATTCTATTGTTTAGAACAAAATATTACTGATTTTTCTATTTAAAAGAATTTTGTTTACAATTCAATTTTAATGATATTAAAATTTTAAATAAGTTTCAGACCTGAGTATTCAGTTTCAATCTTCAGACTTCAGACTTCAATCTTCATACATCAAATTCAGACATTTTTTATCAAACAATGTAAATTTAGTCTTCAGACTTCAGACTTCAGTGTTAAGTGTTAAGTGTTCAGATTCAGACTTCAGTGATTATCAAACGAAGCCAAAGTCACAAAAAAAAAAATCTACATGTGATTGTACATTTGCTCATTAGAAATTGCACATATATTTATACATGATTGCACATTGCACCTATATCATTTCTTATATAAGTTTTTTTTTAGTAATTTAAATTTTTTTATTTAGAATTTTGTTTTTAAGCCTTATTGAGTGAGTATTTACGGGTTATTTTGAATAATAGAATTTATTTGCAATTTTTTTTTTGAATTGTTTTTAGCATAATAATATATGTTTAAATATGGCACATTTGTGTGTGCGTTATTACACTTATAATAAAATAGATTGATTTTATATTCTTTATTGTTTTATAAAAACTATATATTTGTGCATGGAATATTTAGGTGATAACTAGTCATTTTATCGTTCATTGGAATATTTAGCTATGTTTCTTGTGATTTCTTTATCTTTATTTTTAATTTTCTTTATTCTTAGTTCTGATATGAAGGAAAACTAAACTAACTACTATGACATGTTATATTAAGAAAGAACAATGATAGGGATAATGACTATGTATAGTGAAACAAGATAGTGATTTGTGAAAAGATAAAAACACTACCAACATAATATGAGCAGTTATGTAAGAACTAACAAGCAACAACTAATCTGATAGTAACTGATTTAAACACAAAGTCTCACCAATCAAGTTTAGAGGAGACCAGGTAGGTAACCATTATATACAAACCGACTTAATATGGGGACTTAAGCCCTTATTATTAGTGGCTAGCATCCCTTTCGGTTGCTAAAAAGTGAAACGAAATTTCAACTTAAATAAGCTATACTGTAATCGACTAAGTGCTGGTAATGGCACATTGCATCATTAAAAATTAAAAATGGAAAGTATTCTGGTAAATTGAGCCTGTAATAGGGGAATTATCAAATCTTATTAAATTCTATACTATAAATAATTTATGGGTTGACGGTCATATATACTTTTAGTTATTTTATTCCTTTAATGCAAATTCTGTGGCTGTGACTGATTTAATCTAATCTAATGGTTATTAATTAAATAAAAGGACCATACTTTTAAAATTGACAACGGAACTTTTACCTTTACCCACAATTTTGTCTTGATGCATTTAAATTCTTCAATTTTGAAGACATTTTAATTTGTGATATTTTATTACTGCAGGGCACCCGAAATTAGCAACAATCACTATCTGGAGGTTGCAAAACTGGAGTTTAATGAATGTCAGATTCAACATCAAGTTGACTGGACCAATATGCTCAAGTATGTAGCGCCACGATCTAATAAGTATTAATAATAAATTGGTCCCCTTCCTCAAAATAATAATAATAATAATAATAATAATAATAATAATAAATTGGTCCCCGGACTTAATTTCTCATCTTAAAATGGTTTTTGAAAACGGGATCAGAAGCCGAACCGGTAACTTAAATGATTCATTGGTTCAATGGTTCAATCGATTTGAATCAATCTTAAAAACCGGTCAAAACCGACTATAAAAAAATATTAAAAAGATAATTTATTTTTAAAATTTTGGTCCAACCAGTATCGGTTCGGGGCTGAACCGTAGATTTGCTGGGGTTTGATCAAGTTTGACCGATTTTTAAGTTTACCGATTATTAATCAAAACTGGACCAAGAAGGCCTTCGATTCCTAGTTGAACAGGTTCGTCCGCCGGTTTTCTGTTGAAATCAGTATTAGACTTGAAGTATTGTTACAGTTCAAGACAATCATGGCAATCGGTCAGAATTGGGTACGATATATCAGTTGATTTTCGCTTAGTAGTCGATATACCTCGATTGATTCCATTATTAGTAAATGATTTAAAAACCTTGGGGAATGAGAAACCAAGGCGGGTAGGAAATTTTGGTCCAGTTAGATACACCAGAAGGCTTTCTTTGTTTTTTCTTTGTTTTTGTTTTTTTTGGATTTTATTTGTTGGGTCTTTAGTAGTTATTTTTGTAATATATATATATATATACATTTTAAAAATATGCCGTTTTACATATCTTTTTATATCTTTAATGTACGTCTTTTTTTTTTGCACAATTAATTTCAAGGTGGTGGAATGAGTTCAAGCTTGAAGAGTATGGATTAAGCAGAGAGAATCTTCTTGTCACTTTCTTTTTAGCATCTGCAAGTATATTTGAACCAGAAAGGTCAATCGAGCGATATGCATGGGCTAAATCTTGGGCAATTATTCAACTACTTAAAGTTTACTTCAACAACGTCGCCGTATCTGGGGACAAAAGAGGCACATTTCTGTCGGCATTCAAAGGCGATGCCAACCTTGACGGATTAGATGAGTGAGTCTTAATTATATCAACTCCAAACTCTTACCTTTTTATCAATGTTGTTAAACTCGGCTTGGACCGGCCGGTTCAACTGGTTAACCTAGGAATCGAACCATATGCCGAGCCGAATTGCTCAGAAACTCGCTACTTTAAGACTCGGTCAAAATCGGTCAAAACTCCGGTCGAAACTGGGAACCGGTCAAACCCAGGTCGACTCAGAGTTTTTGTTTTTTGCACCATTTGACCAATTTTTGACTTTTCTTTCTTGGATTTCGTGTCTTTTTTTAATATTTTTTGGCCCAAATTTTTGCATTTTGTTCTTTAATGACCCAACAACTTTCCTTGAAAGTATTAATTTGTTGTTTTAGCCCCAAACTATGCACTCCTAATTATTAAACATAACATTTTTTTTTTTAAGAAATTTCTTTTATTATTCTTCTCACATATGAACCTCCATTTTTTTATTCAAAATTTAAATTATATCTCAAACATGTTGAAATTGATTTTTATGTTATGTATTTATTAATACTAAAAGTTGATTATCTTGTAAATTCATAAATTTTAATTACTAGTAATTAATTTATTAATTGTTGAACTAATATACTAATTTTAATATATAATTAAATACTTTAAAACAATATTTTGAACTATTACCATAAAAAAAGATATAAATATTATTTTTTTAATTATTAGTAGATATAATAATTATATATTATTTATTACGTCATTATGAGATCATATAAGTCGACTTTCGAGTCGACCCAAATCAACCTCTAAAACCCCTGATCCTTACCTTTACCGAGTCGGTGTCCGAGTCCGATAACACAGCCTTTTATATTCAATCTTAGGTTTTGGACTCATTCTATAGTAATTTAACAATTTTGGACTGTGTCTTCTTTTGTGTTAAAAATAAAAAATGGACGCACAGAAACCAAGAAAAGGAAAGCTAACACCAAACATATGAAAAAAAAGCTTCACACTCTCTATGACAAACACAAATCAACTGTCTTTCAATTTCAAATTTCTATGGCAGGATGGGAAAGGGGCTTCAGTGGATAATACTAGAATTCATTTATCAACTATCCATTGATGCATTTCAGACGTTGAAAAGGGATATACGTCGACAGTTGACCAATTTGGTGAGCACTTTCTCCTATTCATTAGCAATTCAAATTGAAGATTTCATGCTTCAGCTGTATGTATCTTGGCCGCCATGCAGTTACGTGAATTAGGGAATGCATAATATAATAAAATGTACTCCTCTGGTCCTTAATATATTATTTTAATTTGTCTTAAGTTTCACCTTGTATATTTTTTTAATTCACAAAAAAATTTTAAAAAAGTTTTCTAACAATTAAGAGAATACAACGAATGTGAAAATATGATTTTAAGAGTTTTTAATTAAAAATACATACTGTATAAAATTTAGGATACATCAAAATGCCTTATATTAAGGACTAGAGAGAGTATAATTGTAGCAGCGTTTTTTACTTCTATCTTAAAAATAATCTATTTTATTTTGTTATTTTATTTCAATAACATAGTCAGGGAAAATATAGAGTCCCGTTGGCGATTTTTACAGAAACCGTCCCTTTTTTTCTTCAACCTATCAGAATTAAGGTATAATATGTATTCATGGAGTGAGTAACATACTAACATATCCCAAATTAATTTTCATTTAAAAAATTGAAAAAAATAACTATAACCTGCTAACAATTGTTGTTTACATAGATAAAATTAAAACCATCACCATTGAGGCCGTTCACTATATTTACATTAAATTAAAATACATCAAATTTATTAGCTTTGATTTTTATAAAATTATAAAGTGATTTTAATTTTTTACATATATGTTAATTACTTATTTCAACGAATTTGTATGTACAAATAAATAAGAATTGAATAATACGACTACGTATTATAAAATAAAATATTATTTACTAAAGTGGGAGTTTATTAATTACAAAAACATGATATGAAAATTATGAAATAGTTCAAAATTTTATTTTATTTTTTTATATGCATATAATTAATGTAACAATACCGTCAAAAATATTGTTGCTTCGTTGTCACACACACAATTTTTTGCCCCCGTAAACTGTGGGACCTAAGACCCAATGTAAAAAGAAAAAAATTAAATTCATGGATTATATTTACCAAAGAAAAAAAAGAAAATTAGGGGATAAACCGGTTAAACCAGTTCCAGATTTCTTTTTAATAATCAAGTGTAATTAGGTCTATGTCCTTATGATACATCCCTCATTTTAATCCTACAGTTGTTAATTCATCTAATTAATCTTACAGTTATTATCCTAAAACGGAACCGTCTTATAACGGGACTTTAGACGCTCCCAAATAGTCAAGTCTTCGTGATACAGGGAGTAAGAGAGTATAGTTCAACACCTTCCACATCCCAATTTCTCAGCTAACCCTAATTTAGGAAGCAAACTAAATAATTTGTCGCAGTTGTGACTAGTTTAGTTAATCGACTAAACGATGACCATTATGTTATTCGAGACTGATAGTTAATGTAGCTTTTACTCAGGTCATTATGTAGTACAGTACCCACGTCACGTGAAACTCAATAGGGACTTTTGTTTTTGGGCATTTTTCTTTTAAAATTTCAGTTATTTAATTATTTTTTGGTGAAAAGGTAAAATTTTCATTGCAATGCTCAACCATTTACATGCCTACCAGCCAAAATCTATTACAAGCTATTTACATAACAATACCAAGTCTTTCAATAAACTTCGAATCATAATTAGTTCTCCTTTTACAGCAAAATTGAATTCTTTTACGAACTTCCTGTTTTACTTCCTTAGCTCTGTCTTCTGGCTCCTTTTGCTGGTTCATGAATTTTCTGAAGTTTCGTTCTGTCCATATGTGATAGACAGCAGCAGTAATCACAGCAAAAAGAATTCTTTGCTTGATTCTGCTATGTCTCTAAACCTTTAGCAGACTGCTCACCCTTCTTCTTAGGCTTATTATATTACTGCTTAACCCCAACCAACCTTGTAATACCTGCATCATTTTTTGAGCATAACTGCATCTGAAAAAACAAATGGTCTGTATTCTCAACTGGACCTGCACAAAGTTCACATTTCATTGCTTCCTTCAGTATGTTCATTTGAAGTAGCCTTTCCTGTGTCAGCAGTCGATCCTTCAACATCAACCAACAAATAAAACTGTGCCCGGGCAGTGAGTAAGGACTCCAAACAATCCTAGCTTCTCTGTTCTTTTCCTGAGCTCCCAGAAGCCACTGATATCCACTTTTTGCATAGTAGATCTTCTGTTCATTACCAATCCATACACCATTTTTAATTCCACCTTGCAGCTCCTCTCTGATAATCAGAAGTTTCTTCCAATGCCAGCTACAATCAGAGGCGGGAGTATATTCCCAAAGTGCCTTTTTTTTTTTTCAAGTAATAAGAGCTAATCCATTTTATCCACAAACTTTCTTTCCTTCGTGCCAAGTCCCACAACTGTTTTCCCAATAATGCCTTGTTCCACAATCCAGGTCTTTTAATATGTAAACCCCCCTCTAATTTTTTCTTACACACATTTTCCCATGCCACCAGAGCACAAGTATTACCTGATTCATTTTTGCCCCACAGAAACTGCCTACAGTGCCTTTCTACCTGCATTATGACTGATTGAGACAGCAGAAACATTCCAGACCAATAAGAGTGTAGATTCATCAACACCGAGTTTTCAAAAGTTAACCTGCCGGAATACGACAAGTTTCGGGTTGCCCAGCTCTTCATTCTAGCCAATATCTTCTCTACAACTGACTGACAATCTAACTGAGACCAGGCTGTGGGGGAAATTTGGACTCCTAAGTATCTTATAGGGAAGGCACCCATCTGGAAACCCTTTATCTCCCTGATCTGACTTTGCATTGCCTCCGTCACTCCCCCAAAATAAATATTGGATTTAGCTGTATTCTCAGTCAGTCCTGTAGTTCCAGCAAATTCATCTAAAACTTTCTTGATCTTCTTAACAGTTGGGAGGTCAGCTTCACACAGTATGATGAGATGATCCGCATAGCTCAGACTTCTAATTCTGAGCTTATCACAACAGGGATGACATTTAAACCCTGATTCTGCCTCTTTTTTTAAACATTCTAGTTAGAAATTCCATCACTAATACAAAAATGAGGGGGGAAATAGGATCCCCTTGCCTCAAACCCATTTTCCCCGGAAAAAACCCTTCACTACAGCCATTAAGGTTTATAGAAAAGCTACAAGTGCTGATACAGGCCAAAATCCAACTGACAAATTTTGGTGGAAAGTGATATTGTCTTAACATCTCTTCTACAAATTCCCAATATATAGAATCAAAGGCTTTTTTTAAATCTACCTTCATGAGACAGCTGGGCTTAACAGATTTCGTCCTATAGAGTCTAATCAGTTCCTGCATAAGTAGAACATTGTGCAAGATGGACCTGTGCTTTACAAAAGCACCTTGGTTCTAATCTACTAGATCAGGCAAGACTAAACTTAATCTAGTGCTTAGCATTTTAGAAATCCCTTTAGAAAGGGTGTTACAGCATGCGATAGGTCTGAATTCGGTGGCGTCTTTAGGTATTGAGTTTTTGGGAATAAGGGAGATCAAAGTGGTGTTTAACTGTTTTAGTATATTCCCTGTACTAAAAGATTCCAGCACTGCTCTACTTACATCATCACCTGTAATTTCCCAGCCATCCTTGTAAAACCCACTACTAAACCCATATGGACCAGCACATTTGTTAACGTTTATACTAAAAATTGCATCCTTTACATCCGCTTTAGTGAAACTTTTAACCAGGAGAATCTGCCGGTCTACAGACAGTTTAATCCCTGTGTTAAAAAGTTTCACTGTCCGCTGATGTTCTAGTCTTAGTTCTACCCAACAGATTTTCAAAGTAACTTATGAAGTGCACTTTTACTTCTTCCCACTGCTCAATTAGGTCTCCTTGCTGGTAGGTGTATGCAATGATCCTGCTTTGTGATCTCCTTTGTCTGATGCTGTCATGGAAGAACCTTGTATTGGTATCTCCCTCGTTTGTCCACCTATCCTTCATTTTCTGTTGCCAGTAGCTCATTAAGGCTTTAACACTCTCTAGATATTCCATTGTGCTTTCTCTTTCCAGCTTTTGCAAGTCCTCATTTTGCGGATGTTCCCCTAACTCTATCTGTATGTCCTCCATCCTCTTCTACAAGTGTTGAACTCTGCTCTCAATGTTGTGAAAATAGCTCCCGTTGAACTCTTTTAGTACCCTTTTCAGTTGTTGCTGCTTTTTAATCACATGATACTCTACTGTTCCTTTGATCTCTTTCCTCCATACCCTGTTAACAGTTTCCTTAAATCCTGGATGTAATGCCCACATATTGAAGTACTTGAAAGAGTTTTTCTTAACAACCAACATCCCCAGTTGATGATTAGGGGACTATGATCTGATATACAGGTGCTTGAACTCGAACATAAGCATTTGCAAAGGAATCCAACCAGAGACCATTGATAAGTGCTCTATCCAATTTACAAGCTATTCTTCCACTTCCCAGCTGCCTGTTGCTCCATGTATACTGTAAACCAATTGTCTTCGTTTCTGTTAACTCACTCTGTTCCATAACCACCTTAAACATATTTGTATCACTGCTTTGACTTGCTATTCCTCCTATTTTTTCCTCTGGTGCCAAGACACAGTTAATATCGCCTATAATGAGCCAAGGTCCTTTTATCTGCTTGTTGTTGCAGAAAGTCCCAAACTGCCACTCTTCCAGGTGCCTGATGATTCGCATAAATTATAGTCATAAAGAAATTTCTGTTGTAACTCCCCTGTACTTTGCAGTGTATAAACTGCGATTCCACTCTGTAGCTTGGACTTTATACTCCGCTCCCCTCCATAGTATTAGTATTCTACCTTTTTCTGATGCTGTATGATTACTTATGTATTCAAAGCTACTCCATCTTCCTTTCATCAACTCTTCTGCTTTTCCTCCTGATAATTTAGCTTCTAAGAGCCCCGTCAACCCTACCTTATTAATAGAGAAGTGATGATCCACCTCTATGTTTCAGGAGACTATTAAGTCCCTTTACATTCCAGCCAAGGAGGCAATTCATGGCTGCTAGACCCCATACTGGGTAAACTAGCTCCCTGGTTGGTACTTTTGCTTCCTTGTTTCTGCCTGGTGACTTCAACTTCCATGAGTCCTTTCTGGTCAGTATTTGCTTTCCTTGTCTCACTGTAGCAGTTAAGTCATTCTACTATTCTTCTCTTTTCTTGTCTGAGCATTTGCCATCTTGGATCTCGGGTTCCTTCTCTTTTTTCAAACTTTTTGTTGCAAGTTGGTCATTTTTTACAATTGGTCTTTCATGCTCCTGTTGTTGACTGTTTTCACTCCTTAACAACTGGTTTCCTACAGATTGCTGTTTCACGCCCATATCCACGACAGTTCTCACATCTCACTGGCAACCATTCATACTTGACTTCTTGAGTCTGAACTATACCATATTCATCTTCATAAACTATCTCCTTAGGCATTTCCTCTGTGATTTCCATTTCCACCAGCACTCTTGCATATCTAGCCCTGTTTCTCAAAGTAGTCATTTCGTCCATCTCTACAGGCTTGCCCAAACTACTAGTAATTCTGCTAAGAGTCGTGGCTGTCCAGTATTTGAGCTGTAATTTTGGCAATTGCACCCAGGCTGGAACTAGCTTGACATCTTCTACCCTGAATCCTTCTTCAACATACCAGTCTTTTACGATTAAAGGCCTATTATCAAAATGATACACATTGTTCTTCGACACTTCCTCCTCAGCAGTAATGGACTTAAATCTGACAATGTAAACACTATTGTCCATCAAGAGAATTTTATCTACCCCCAGCTTGCCCCAGATACGACGCAAATAGCCACTGACAACAAAGAAAGGTGGGTTTGCCCCTAGAACATAGCATATTACAGAGGCTCTCCAATAATCTATGGTTTCTTGAATTTCATCCATTTGGATCTTAGGAACAGCCCAATTATGCACCAATCTTGGCTCAATGAACTATAATTTCCTGTTTGTGTCCCCAAATAATTTAGGGTTCGGGTTCCCCAAAATTCCCATCCCTTCCGAAACCCTAGATACTGAACAATCTTGTTTGCCAACATCACTTTTCATACAAGAGGATTCCCCAATTTGAACTATTTTCTGATGGCACAGTTTCTCTAGCATCAAATTACAAGATTTCTCAGCCCTAATTCCAGAATTACTGATCTTTAGTGGTGAAGCCGATTTCGGCGAAGTCGATTTTGCACTCTCCATCTGTTGATTCTGTCCGTCAATCTTCAAACCTTCTTCATCGATTGCTTTCCCTCTTTTCTTCGCTCTTCCTACCATTGTGGGCACATCAGAGCGCCGGAAAAGTGAAGGTTTCAATTTCACTCAGTGAACGTGTAATCGCCCCTAGAGACGGGGAGAGTGAAAAATATTGGTTTTCTAGTTATTTAATTAAGTCGAAATGATCTTATGTTGCAAATTTTCTATTTGTGTCCCTAGTCCCTACTATGGAAGGATAAGAATTAGCAAGTCATTGGCTTGATCTATTCTTAAGGAAGGATAATTAAGTCATTTTATCTTTTGAAACCGAATTAGAGTACTATTTAGCTCTTTAGTTTCCATATTTTCATTATTTTCTTGGCTTTTACAGTGGGAAAAGTGGCTGGCAGAGACCATAGATACATTGCAAAGCGGACATTTACCAAATGAAGGTGCTTTTTTAGCAAATATAATAAACATTTGCGCAGGAAATTATGCGAGGATGTCAAATGATCAGTTGTCATCCCAAGAGGAGGCTTTCGAGCTTTTCTCTCAACTCACAAACAATGTTTGTCTTCAACTAAGCCAACACAACGAAAACGAGGTAATAAATTCTGCATTTATATACCTTAAATAAAAGAGTAAGGATACATATGTTTTTGATAATAACAGGTGTTTTACTGTTTACGAAAATGATTCATCTTTCTCGTAAAATCGCAACGACCTAGTTGTTGCCTTGATAAAAATATTGTTGTTGGGAAAATAATAAAGATAATGAAAGATTGCAGTTACTTAACGGTAGGGCATTAACCTTACAATTGAACATGTGCCCAAAAAACAATAAACTAACTCCCTATTAGTTTAGCTGAACTAAAAACGTGCATACATCTAGTGTATATTAGATTTTTTTAAAATTGTTTAGAATAGTTAAATTCATTATTTATTTGTGAAATAACTTTATTAATCATGTTAAAAAGTCTTCGACACTTAATTTTGAGTTCCAAAATATTGGAAAATTTAAGAAGGGGCAAAACTATAGATACATGGTAAATGAGTTGAATCATGAATGACATGGAAGTGCTTGAACATAGGCCCATGTTAAATCTTAAAGTGTCGTATAATAAGAAACGAAAATGATATATGATTTCATTGCGGGTTGATATGTGTGTTTGTTTAAAATTTACTAAATCTATATTTGTAATTTGGGTTAAAAAAATTAAGTGTTTTAATTTTTTTAAATTAGAATAAAATAATTGTAATTTGGATTAATTGAAAATTGATCAATGAAAGTAGATTTTAATTATTGAAGATGAAGGGTAACGTAGAAAGTTTGAAACTTCAATACAGTGTCCGAATAGAAAAATGGTTATTTTGTCTTAAAGTTTAATTTCCAGTCGATTTTATCGATAAAGTATTTCAAGATGTTCAATATTATATAAAACTTTAACGCTTCGGCCAATATCATTTGCCGCACTTGACTTAGCCAATCAGCATGTTTCTGTTCTTTTCTTATTACTTTCAAACTTTATGACTAAGTCAGACTTAATTAGTTTCATTATTTCTAGAAAAAATCACATAACTTATGTGACTTTATTAATTTGCTTAATTATTTTTTAAAAAATAGGCCAAAACTGCTTATTCTTTTGTTCGCGTGTCCCACTTCTAACATTAATAAATAAATAAAGTCTAAAATATACCAGGTTATATTGTGTTTGTGTCGATAATTGTACATGTCATGAAGTGATCATGAGTCAAATTGGTGCATAAAAATTAAGAAAACTTTCTTTTACATTAGTGCATATCCTGCACAAAGGTTCATTCAATGACAGACATAAATTAATGAGATAGTATACTATTTTATAGTAGAATTATATTGACCAGTCGACTTTTCGACATTCCTTTTTAATTTACAAACATAATGCCTTTTTGACATTCTTTTGTAATTTACAAAATGGAAATAAAGAAAAATAAATAAAATTTTAGGTTTTGTTTTATTTGAGGATTCAATAAGGAACCCACAAAGAATATATTACCTCTATTTTTTTATCTATCACTTTAGTGTTTGCACGTGTATTAAGAAAACCAAAATTGATAGTTTAATTTTAAGTATAATACCTTTCTTGTCCTTAATTAAAAGTATTAGAAATATACAAAAAATTGAAATTGAAATAAAAGAATAGATAGTTATCATTAATATATGACACTAAAAGTAGAGAGAGATAGGAGTGAAATTGAAAAAACCGTATTGAATGCTGTATTGAAAATAAAGTGTGAAAGATAAAAAAAATAAAATAATTTGGGTTCACCCTAAAACGATAGATAAAAAAAATGAAGGTAATACACATTTCATTTGTTTGTTTTCAAAAGTAATTTAGCTAACTGATAATGTCAAGTAACTTTTTTCCAATTTTCAAAAATAATTAAAATAATTAATGATGATAATTAAGTTTTTGTTTCAGTCTTCAAATTTGAAATCATTAAAAAAAAAATCAGAAACACATCAGTTGACTAAGTCAAATATTGGAAATCGCTAATTTATAGCCAGCAGGATGAAATTGACAGAAGTGTTAAATTTTGGGATGGAATTAAACACCTTAAAATAATTTTGTATAAAATCGATCAGAGCCTCAGAGGTTCAAATTTTAGGATAAAATTAGCACTTTTCCGTGTCCAAACAATCCTACTTAATGTAAACCAAAAATTATAATAATATATTCCCAAGATGTGCAATACTCAATGCAATACTTAATTATCTATCAAGTGTTCAATGGTATTTTTTTTTCAAGTGTACAATGTCTTTAACTAATTGTGCAATAATTAGTTGTCAAGTGGTACAACATTTTTTAATTAGTTGTATAATTTTTTTTAATCAAGTGATCTATGTCTTCTATTTTTAAACATAGTTTCCACATAATTCAACTAAATATCAATTTCAAAACGCGTACTTGTTTTTTCTTAATCACAATTTTGACAAAAATGCCAACCAATATATTAAAAAAATGGATCAAAGATAAATTAGAAAAATACTTTAGGCTAAAAAAAGTAATATTTTCAAATATTTTTTTCAAAATTATAAATTTATGCTGATTTTGTGGCCGATGACATAATGCCGTGACAATGACATGTGAAACGCATTGATCCAATATGCGATACTCAAAATAAAAAAAAAAGTTAAAGTCTACCTTAAAATATATATTTTTGAAGATTAATAAAATTTAAGTTATGAAACTTCTATATTAAAAAGATGCTGGTTTTTTTTTTTTTTTTGTTTGCACCGTATAGTTTGTAAGTTTAATGCATAACCTGTATTTCTTTAACATACAAAATTATTTTACATGCACAAATTTCCAATGTTTATATCTTTCTTACATTTAAAAATTATTTTATAAGGCATAAACTAAAAATTAATATAAGAAACATCAATTATATAAATAAATTTGCAATTACATATTAGCTTGTGTGCAATTGAAATGCTAAAACAAAGAATTAATTGAGAATTTATGAGAATATTTATGATTTTAAAGATTTAAACCTCTTAAAATAATTTTTTTTTTTATTTTTGATAAGTTATCATTTGGAAAGTTTTTATCAGAATTTATGATAGTTTATAAGTAATTAAAGTTGGACAGGACCATACAGTTAAAATTGATTACGTGACCATGGAAAATTTTAGGGTCCCATTATAGATTTTCACTATATGGTCCCGTCCATATTTAATGAATAATAAAGTATCATAAATTTCGGTAAACTTATCAAAATTACATATAAACTTTCTTAAATAAATAAATTTGAGGAGGTTTAAAGCTCAGAAATTACAAATCACCCCCTAAATTATTAACTAACTTATTTCAAGATCAAGATTGCACACAACGTTATATGATTGCACCTTTGTAATTTTTGCCGGTCTCAATTCGGGACAAGTACAAAAAATGAAAAAACTCGATTAATTTATAAGATAATAAATTTCCAAGAATCCCCTATGTAAATATAGGTCCCCACATTTTCATAAATTAATAATTTTCTAAACAAAAACTAATAATTTCTATTAAAATATGAATCTATTGATCTTTGTTTTTTCTTAAAATTTATATTTATGGAGATATCATTTTTTTATTTTTCTTATTACATTCAAAGGTTCCAGTGTTGCTTTGCCATACTACAACAAAAAAGATATGAAGTGTTAATGTTACTTTTAGTGCTTCTTTTTCTGGAGATTCAAAACTTGTAGGCATACAAAGAGAACCCTAATATAATATTAATAAAGATAGAAGTGTACATTTATAATCGACTTTTCTTTTCTTCTTGGCTGAGATTATCCTCTGTTAATATTGAAAAAATATTTATATTAATAATTATTAAATTAATAACTCGATAAATTAATAAAATTTGGGGCCCAAGACTATTAATTTAGAAAGGTTTTAATGTATATTTTATTCATTTACATAACTACTATATCTTATACTAGCCAATGTTTTATTTGTTATATTTGCACATGTAAAATATTTTTGGATGTTAAAAAAATGTTGAGCATCGTATATTTGATTAAATACGGTTTCATGTTACAACAATTATCGTTGCTTTCTTGCATTCGTTATAACATAAGCATAAAATCTATACTATTTTTATTCGAAAAATAATATTTCCTCCGTTCCATAATTATTGTCCAGTTTGGATTTTTATTTTTAATTTAAATTGTACTAAAAGTGAAATCTCAAACTAGACAATAATTTTGAGATAGAGGGAGTAATACATTGAATTTAAACATTTATATTGTTTTTTTTTTTATATAAATCTCAAATCCATGTACATAACTTTTTTCCGGAAAAACAGCATGTCATTTATTTAAATATATTTGGGCAATTAGGCATTACTGCATTGTTTACAACATACCGACAGTTGATCTGGGTTTCGATTTTAATCAGGGAACTAAAAATGGAAAGCCAAAGAGCAAGATGGGCCCCAGGATCAATTCCGAGGAGATTGATAAAAGCATGCAACTCCTATTGCAATTAGTTGTTCGACCTGAGTCGTCGGATCACGTCGTTAATCACAATGTCAAGCAAACGTTTCTGACGGTTGCCAAAGCTTTCTACTACAGTGCCTTTTGTGACAAGGAAACCATTAACATTCACATTGCTAAAGTACTCTTCGAACCACTATTGTAATTCTAGTTTTTCATTTTTCTTACAAAAATTATTACCCACAGAGTAATAGTCACTTTTAGATTGTAGTGTATTTCCTTTAGCAACTATCAAAAGGTTTGTTAATTAATGTTTTCTTCATATCTAAAGCGCAGCAGACACGTCACACGTTTAATCTAGTTCGTAATTTGTATACCTTCTTATCAGTGTCGTCGAAATAAGGATTAAACTATCCGTTTCATTCTTCGTAGCATTTACATCTCTAAAATATAATCCACATTGAATTTTAAGATTTGCAATATAAAAATTTTAAAATTTATTGTGGACTATTCGTTAAAACATAAGGAGTAACAATAATTTATTTGGTTAATATCATTTTTTTTCATTGAAGGGTGTAACATGAATATTCAAAGCAATCTCTTCAACCATGTCGCATATTAATTTTTTTTTTCTTTTTTAAACATAACCAAGTCGTTTATTTTTTTTTAAGGGAGAAATTTCATTACGATTACTTGAAATCAGCCAGTTTTAATTGATACAAATCGTCCAACAACGACTGATGGGAGAATACAATCACTAAATTAGTCAATAAACTAATTCCTAAACTATTACGACTGGAAACAAAAAATAAAACTTTCCCCAACCAATTGATACAAATCGTCCAACAACGACTGATGGGAGAATACAATCACTAAACTAGTCAATAAACTAATTCTTAAACTATTACAATTGGAAACAAAAAATAAAACTTTCACCAACCAGTTGCTATTTCCAGGAGGAAAGATCCTCAAACGATATGATTCTATTGTTGGACATACAACGGAACAGATTAAAAATGTGAATTCGAGTAGGCCACTAACCATCGTATTAAAGCACCACTTAGTAAATCTAGATAATAAATTCACCATGACTGAAAATTCTCGAGCCAACCTAGCAAGCATTAAAGACGAGGTGCGACAATCAGCAGATTGAACAGGATCTACTCAGTCACAGAAAGCAAACAACAGACCTGACTCTATTGGTGCACTACAATCACTCAGTAAAAAATTAAACCAGGATCTATACTGAGGGTGAATAATCCCCCTTAATTGAATTAAAAAACAACAGTAAAACACCAAAAATAAAATAAAAATAAATTAAACAGATAACACAACATCGCTGACCAACAGATCCCGTCCGTGATACCAGCGAACAAGCAGATTTGACGATCTGGGGATGGAGGGGAGCAATGAAACAACCACCGATGAAGATGAGCAGACAATCCCGTTCTGACGACAAACGATAGTATCGACGGTGATGGTACTTCAATCTGACTAGAACTCTGATTCCTTGAAGATCCGAACAGATCGGTGCTATTAGAATTTCGAAGCGTTAGAGTTGGAGATTTGACAGTTGTTGTTGATGATGCCGACGATGGTGCGGATGATCACTGTCGGTGGATGGATGCGTATTGCTCTATCTGGCAATATTTTCTCATTTTTATTGAAATCTCTTTGAATTTAGTTTTGGGATAGGAGAGTGATGTGGTGGTTGTGGTGGTGGCTACATTGTGGAGGAGGTGGAGGTGGAAGGAAAGAGATGGAGAAGGAGGTGGTGTCTGCAACGTGGAAAGGGTAGAGAAGGAAGGAAGGAGATGGAGGCCGCGGCGGTGGGTGCATTGTAGAGAAGGTGGAGGAGGAAGGAGAGAGATGGAAGAGGCTTTAGTCGCTACATCGTGGAGAAGGTGGAGGAGGACGGAGGTAGATGGAGGCAGCGGCGATAGCTGCAACGTGGAGCAGATGGAGGCGGCAGAGTGGAGAAGGGAAAGAACATTATCTTAGGGTTTGTTTTTTTAATTGCAACTAGATGTTTGCCCCGGGCGAATACCCGGGGTGCCGCCTGTATTTTTAAATCGATTAAATAAAAAATACGAATCATTCTTAAAAGAATAAAAGAAAAATAGAAAAATAAAAAACGATTGAAAGGACAGTAAGTGAGTTATTACACATAAATCTATGCCCAAATTTACAACATTTAATTTACAACAGTTAACTTATGCCCAGGTTTACATAAATCATAAACCAATATCTATAACAGAAAAATAAAAAAAAAATCATCCTTAAAAAATTAAATTTCTTTCATGACAGCTTATTTTTTCTCGGTCGTAGAAACAGATGGATTGATAATTGATGTTAGATTTTAAATAATTGATTTAAATGTCCAGGTGAGAGAGAGGAGCAGAATGGAAGAGATTCTTTGAAATTGGGTATTGGGAAGATATTACTGGTGTTTACTTGATTTAAGGGGATTTTCTTACATTTGATTTTATCAACTAAATATTGTTGTTTTAAGGGATTAGTATATACCTATAATTAAGAAATTTTTATGTAGCTATAATTAAGGGATTTATGTATTTATCTATTCCATCTTTTTTTCTGATTAGTTAGAGTGCCACGTGTCAAAAATAATTTTTCGCGGGAAAATTTTCATTGTGGTGCTGATACATATGCTTTTTGTTTGCTGTTTTAATTAAGTACTATGGATTGGATTGAGATTGGGCCAGATTTAAAATATTAATATTAGAAATATTTAGGCTCAATCTTAAAGGGGGGGTTAATATTTTTTTGGGCAATCCTAACCTTAATCATTACATATAACTTCCACACATTGACTAAATTGGCCGTTTAATTTTTGACGGAACTTTAACAGAAAAGTGATAAAAAAACAAAATTCATCTTTCATGGGGGACTTGAGGAAGTTTCAACTTTATAGTTTTGAATGAATATAGTAATCAATTTTTTGGGATTTTTGTAGTAATTAATTCTAATTTTAAAACTAGAACTTTTTTTTCCTTTTTTGTGACTCAAGGAGAACTGACAATAATATACGCCACACCATACACATGGCTAGAAGAATTAAATTCCTGTTTCTGATCTTTACTTCAAAACCATGAATTGGCAACCAGTATGGTTAATTGTCACTTTTGCAAAGTTGTTGTTTTTTTATTTGTACAACAGTGACTGGTTGTATATTTGGAGCTGTGTTCAATAAATTGCAATGTTTGAAACCCTCTCAAATTAGCGATCGTTCAATCGCACTGCTTAAATTATAAATCTCATTCCTTAAATTGTTTGGAGACCCTATTGGTTAAGCCACGTCGATTATGAGTGAGTTTGTCAAGTTTGCTACTTTGACCGGTTTTGGATGTGTTCGGCGAACCACACAAGTAACCGTTTTGAAAGTGTTTGCAAGCTGCTGGTGCTGGGCATTATTGGTCGCGATGGTCAGATGATTGGGACACATTACCAAACGACATTTCAAACAGCAGACTTTTTTGTCTTATCAATTAAAAAATCAAAGGCAGATTTTGCTTATGCATTTAGGGAGTGTACTAACAAATGAAATTGTTAGTCTTCCGTTCCACGTAGTATAATTCTCAATTTACAATGTTAATTATTTTCATGACAAGGAAACAGTACTTTACATTATTGCGTTGTTAGTGTCAACAATCGAAGAGAGAATCATTGAAAATGGAAACATCCGTTCTCAGTTTCGTCTGTTTCTCTGTTTTCATAGCACTTCTTTCAACAGCATTATTTAGGAAGAGACTGCAATCAACCCCAAAGAAACGGCCACCATCCCCATGGAAGTTGCCCATAATTGGACACTTGCATCATTTGAAGGGCGCTCCACCCCATCATACTCTCAGGCGACTGTCCCAAAAATACGGTGCCCTGATTCAATTGCAGCTGGGAGAGATCCCTGCAATCGTGGTATCATCGCCCCGATTCGCCAAAGAGGTCCTGAAAACTCAAGATGTCACTTTCGCGAATCGGGGGGAAATGTTGGCAGGGAAAATCATGCTCTACAATTGTACAGACATAGCTTGCGCCCCATACGGCGAGTACTGGAGACAAATGCGCAAAATCTGCACTTTGGAACTCCTCAATACTAAAAACGTCCGGTCATATGGCTCGATTAGGCTCCAGGAAGCTCACAGCCTCATCAGATCTATTAAAGATCTGGTTGGCAGCTCCACAACAATTAATCTAACCAAGGAATTGGCAGAATACACTAGTTCCATGGTGGTCAGAGCAGCATTTGGAAAAGTTAACAAAGATGATCAGGATGCATTCTTAGAGCTAATGAAGGAGTCGTTGCCACTTTCCAGTGCCTTTGAGATATCTGATCTGTTCCCATCGCTAAAGTTTCTACATCCTTTTCTTTCTAACAAGGGTGAATTGATGAGGATCCATTATAAGCTAGATATAGTCATGGACAAAATCATCGATCAGTACCTCGACAAAGACTTAGCCAGTTCAAAAGTGGCCTCCACCAGTGAACAGCAGCAAGGTAATGAAGATCTAATTGATGTTCTGCTGAGGGTCAAGGATAACAATGAACTCCAATTTCCAATCACAAAGAATAATATCAAGGCTGTTATGCTTGTAAGTTCTTTTTTGACTCGTATACAACTTATTTATTCCCATAGTCCATAGAAGCTCTGTATCATTTTTTTAAATTAATCAAGTATTTAGCTGTAGAAACTATTTTTGGGCTTCTGTACCAATTGTTAATCGGTTGCCAGACCCTTAGATACATTGACCAAAAATATTCATGATACAAAAAAGTTCAACATACGCAGGATGTTTTTTCTGGGGGAACTGAAACTTCATCCTCAACGGTTGAGTGGGCAATGGCTGAGTTGATTCGGCATCCTGAGGTGATGGCCAAGCTACAGGACGAGATAAGGGAATCTTTGGGTGAGAACAAAACAATCAAAGAGTCTGACATCCAAGAACTTAGCTACCTAAAATTAGTGGTTAAGGAAACACTCAGGTTGCATCCTCCGGCTCCTTTGTTGGTTCCAAGAGAAAGCAGGATGCAAACTGAGATTGATGGCTATATAATCCCAAATAAAACTCGAGTCATAGTTAACGCTTGGGCGATTGCAAGAGATCCTGAGTATTGGACTGATCCTGAGAGTTTCAAACCGGAGAGATTCGAAAATAGTGGCACGGATTTCACCGGAAATCACTTCGAGTATATACCGTTTGGCTCAGGGAAAAGGATGTGCCCAGGAATGTCATTTGGTCTAGCCAATGTCTATCTTCCATTAGCCCTTCTACTCTATTATTTTGATTGGAAACTCCCAAATGGCCAGAAACCGGATGGTTTGGACATGGCAGAGACTGTTGGTGTAACTTCATCACGATCAAACCACCTTCTCTTGATTGCAAAATTGTACGATCCTTCCCTTTAAATGTACCGGGAATGCTCTACAACCATCTTTCCTTTCTCTTCTTCTTCTTTATTTATTTTTGCATGTTTGTGACTTTTACTATTAGTTAGATGATTGTTGCAAGTGCTTCTAATTCTAGTACTGGAGATCCTAGAACGTTGATGTGAACTAAAATGCTACGAGAACTCCCGGACAATGTATATTTATAGCATCACTACAATCCATCTGCTAAGAAAAAAAAAAAAAGAACACTCATCAATAAAACCAAGTTAAAGTTTAAATAGAATGTTTTTTTTTTTTTTTTTTTGGTGAACTGTGAATATATTTCTATTACTCCAACCTCCTGTTTCTTACATGTACATTGCTTCCTGTTCCATCATCTATTACAACCAGACTTTCAATTTCCTTCTATACAAACAATTGCTGCAAAAAGTTCATTTCTGATGTTCTATTCCTGTGAATATAACAATAATGTATTCTAACTTTAACAACCTCTTTAATTTGCTGTACATGCTCATCTTCTGTCCTGCTTTTGGCTTCAAAGATTCTCTGGTTTCTTTCCTCCCAAATGGCATATATACAGGCCATTATCACAGTATATAGCAGCTTCTTCTTAATCTGAGTCTTCTTCCAAATATGCTTGAGCTCTGTTTTCCATTTACTTTCCTTGACATTCAGACTTCGAAGTCCCAACCAAGTCTTAATTCTGCTGATTACTTCCTCTGAAAACCAGCATTCAAAGAAAAAGTGGTTGGCCGTCTCCTTTTCCTGCAGGCATAAACAACAGCTTTTATCTTCCACCATCACATTGTGCCTTTTAAGTCGATCTTTTGTCCAGTCTTCCTTTCCAGAATAGCCATCCAATAAAGAAATGCTTGGGCACATTTACTCGAGACCAAATCCATCTGCTCTCTGTGGCCTTTGGTTTGGTACCAGTAAACCATTCATTTCCCTCAGAGACTTTGTAGTTCCCTGACTGGTTTCGTTTCCACCGAGTTCCATCAAATCCTTCCCTAGCCTTGCTCGAATTTTCAGCAGTCTTTTCCATTGCCAGCGACTGTCTGGCTTGGACTGTACATCTCATATGCGTTCCTTTTTCATATACAGCTCATGCATCCACTTTACCCACAAATTTTCTGATAAAATTAGTCAAAGATCTCATTAGCTAGGATTATTTAGATTGTATTCGTTTAGATTATTTCAGATTTTATAATATCTAGATCTTAACTAATGTTGATGTATGCCTATAAAATGTACTGCTGCACACAATACAATTTATGATTTCATCTTCTTTCATGAATTTATTTCTCATCATGGTATCGAGAGCAAAATCGATCCTGGACTAAAATTTTTTTTCTTCACATTATCCCACCACTGATTACCTCCAAAAATCACTATTGCACACACTATTTCACATACTACTTCACGTTATTTTATTTTACTTTTTTTTTTTCCTTTTCTTTTACTTTCATCACCATTGTTTTAAAATGACTATTTCACAATCACTCACTACTACTCAATCATTTCCTCTCTCCAATATCACAAATTTTATCACTGTATCTCTTGATAACTCCAACTATCTAATTTGGAGAGATCAAGTTGAAGGAATTTTAATTACCACTGATCTCAATGGTTATATCGATGGTTCAATTTTACCACCAAAAGACTCTTCACCTGATTCTACTATTCCAAAAGAATTTCTTCAATGGCAAAAACTTGATCGCCTTGTCAAATGTTGTCTCACTGTCTCGTTGTCTTCTTCAATGGCATCGGTGGCATTGGGGTGTCCTACTGCTCGTGACCTTTGGATCAAACTCGAGCATCATTTTCTTCAACAATCTACAGCGCGTAGATCGCAATTACGCCAAAAAATTCACAATTTTAAGAAAGGTTCTCTCACAGTCAATGATTTTCTCACTTCATTATCAACTATCGGAAGAGCTTTCTGCTGTTGGGGATACTATCCCTGATCATGATCTTGTTGTTCTCGCTCTTAATGGTCTCTCATCTGAATATACTTCCTTCATCACCGCTATAGAGAATCTTCGAGCAAAACTGCTTCTCCATGAGCAACGTTTGCAATCATTTTTGCCTTCATTAGAAGCTGCACTCCATACTACTGTGAACTTTCCAGTCAATAGTTCTCGGTCTCGTGGTAAACAGTCACAACCCAATTCAGGCCGTAGTCGTAGTCAACTCTCTCCCTACTTTCCTAATAACTCAACTCCGCACTCATTTTATCCCAACCCCAATTCATACGGTCCACACCATCCCTTCAACACTATCTAAAATCGCCCAAAGCAAGCCCAATTCCCCACCCATCCTTCTACTCCCTATAAGCCTTATACCTCATCCTTTAGCCCTTACCCCAACTTTACCCAACAACCCATTCCTACCCAATGCCAAATCTGCAAAAAATTCAACCATTCCGCTACTGTTTGTCGTTTCCGATACGCTGAATCTCGCAATAATCAAATTCATCGTTCTTCTGCTCCCACAAACATGCCCACTGCTTTTCACACCTCCACTGTCCTAGAACCGCAGCCTCAAGACTTTTCATCCTTTACAACTAGTGACATCCCTGAATGGCTTCTTGATTCTAGCGCCCAGGCTCATATGGCACCTGATCCTATTTTAGTGGATTCTACCACTCCATATCATGGTAATCAGCAAGTGGTTGTTGATAATGGTACTACTCTTCCTATTACTTCTATTGGTTACACTGCACTCACCAAGCACCCAAAACCTCTTTACTTACGTAATATTTGCATTGTTCCCCAACTTACTACAAACCTTTTATCTGTTAGAAAATTTGTCACTGATAATTCATGTTTAATGGAATTTTCTCCTTTTGGTTATGTTGTGAAGGATCTAGTCACCAAGACTCCGCTTCTCGCGGGTAACATCCACAATTACCTCTATCCTATGAAGATTCCTAAGACATTCCACAATCTTGTAGCTCTGGCTGCTTGTGCTGTTCCTCCTGATCTTTGGCATCACCGTCTTGGACATCTGTGTCACTCAACTCTTTCATCTTTAGCTCGATCTTTGTCATTTAAATCTTCCAAAATAAATTCTTGTAATTCCTGTTTGCAATGCAAAAGTACTCGAATTCCTTTTACTCCATCTTTTCGTGTTTCTAAAGTGCCGTTACATTTAATTCATTGTGATATTTGGGGTCCAAGTCCTTGTCTCTCTCTTTCAGGTTACCGATACTTTATTATTTTTATTGATGACTTTAGTCGTTTTACATGGATTTATCCACTTACTAATAAATCTGATGCCTTTCATGCTTTCCAAAATTTTAAGTCATTTATTGAAAATTTATTTTCTACTAGTATCAAATATTTTCAATGTGATGGTGCTCCCAAACTTGTGAAAGGTGTTTTTGCTAATTATCTTCGTAATCATGGTATTTCTTATCGCATCTCTTGTCCCCATACTCCTCAACAAAATGGAGTTTCTGAAAGAAAAATTCGTCATATCACTAAAATCGGCCTTACTCTTCTTCTTCATGCTTCTCTTCCCAAATCCTTTTGGGTTGAAACTTTTTCCACTGCCACCTATCTAATCAATCTCCTTCCTACTGAAGTTCTTACTAATAAATCTCCTCATGAGGTTCTTTTTTCCAATCCTCCCTCTCTCTCTCACCTTCGAGTATTTGGGTGCACTTGTTTCCCATTTCTTGGGTCTACTCGTGCTGACAAATTATCCCCAAAATCAATTCCTTGTGTCTTTTTAGGCTACTCTTCCCAACACAAGGGATATCGTTGCTTTGATCCTAAAAGTTCCAAACTTTACATCTCTCGACATGTAAGGTTTCTTGAAACTGATTTCCTTATGCTACGTCTCAAACTTCTACATCCTCTCCAACTCCATCATCACGGGTGTTGCTTCCTTTACCAATGTCTATTCCTCCTCCTTTTGTACCATTTTCCAATCCTACGACACAAACTCTTTCTTCAACAAGGCTTTCTTCTCCACCACCATCTAATTCCCCACCTAGACCACCTCCACCACCATCTAGTTCCCCGCCTAGACCACCTCCACCACCAAGACATCACATGACCACTCGTACCATAACTCATAAGCCTAACCGTTTAAATGATTATGTTACCTATACTTCCTCTCTTACTTGTCCTCCTGAACCTGACCCCACCTCTTTTACTCAGGCCAATAAATTTCCTCACTGGCGTCAAGCTATGCTTGAAGAGTTTAATGCTCTTCAATGTAATCAAACCTGGACTCTAGTTTTTCCTCCTCCTAATGCTAATATTGTGGGTTGTAAGTGGGTTTTTCGAACTAAAAGAAAATCCGATGGGACTCTTGAGCGCTATAAAGCTCGTTTAGTAGAAATCACCTGGCATAGATTACACAGATACTTTCAGCCCAGTAATCAACCCCACTACCATTCGCATTGTCATTACCATTGCTCTCAATCAAAATTGGCCAATCCGTCATCTTGATGTGAACAATGCCTTTCTCTACGGTAATCTTCATGAGGACGTATATATGAGTCAACCCTCAGGCTTTGTTGATCCAAAATATCCATATCATGTTTGTCGCCTTCACAAAGCTTTATATGGTCTCAAACAAGCTCCTAGAGCCTGGTTTCACTGTCTTAGTCAGAAACTTCATACTCTTGGTTTTATTTCCTCAAAATCTGACACTTACCTTTTTATCTTGTCTAAGTCCTCACACACTACTTTTGTCCTAGTTTATGTGGATGACATCTTGGTGACTGGTTCCTCTTCTTCCTTCATTCAATCTCTCATTGATAAGCTTCATTCTACCTTCACCATCAAAGATCTTGGTTCTCTTCATTATTTTCTGGGTATTGAAGCTCAATCTACATCCACCAGCCTTCTTCTTTCTCAATCTAAGTATATTCAAGATCTCCTCACTGGCACTCACTTCGACACATCCAAACCCGTCTCTACCCCTATAACCCCCACCTTACCTCTCTCTAAAAATCATGGTGTACCTTTATCTGACCCTACAGAGTATCGACGTACTGTTGGTGCTCTTCACTATCTTTGTGTCACTCGTCCTAATATCGAATTTCTGTTAATAAAGTGTCCCAATTCCTCCATTGTCCCACTGATATTCATTGGTCAGATGTTAAGCGTATACTTTGTTACCTACGTTCTACCCCTACCCATGGCCTATATCTTACAAAGAGTTCCCCTCTTTCAATTACTGCTTTTGCTGATGCTGATTGGGCTAGTTGCCCTGATGACCGCGGCTCCACTTCCGGTTATTGCATTTTTTTGGGTTCTAATCTCCT